TTTCTTTCAGAATAAGGACGCAAAGTATTAACCGAGGTGAAAATCACTCCAAGTCTGGGCATGTTGAGAGCTGTACATACACACAAGGGGAGTTAGTCGGTTCCGTAAGAGCCAGCATGCGGGACCGGGATTCTGGGATTTGTAGTCTTTCTAGTTGTGTATTTTTCATAGTCTTATATTTCAACAGTTTTACGACAAACTGACTTTTTTGACATGGAAATTATTATTAAAGATTGACAAACATCATGTGTAATTCGTGGAACAATTCAAACGGGATCGAAAGATAATCTTTCTCTCTCCATTGACTTCAATACATAATCTTTCAGAAATAAGGTCCAATGGAGGTCCACCGGAAGGGGAGGGACTTCGCCTCTTCATAGCATCTTCTACTTTCTAAATGCTACACTTATTTAAAAAAAACCTGTTGCTGGTACTTGCTGTTGTCCACCTGGATGTGTACTTTTCTTTAATTTTAATTTGTGTCATTTCTATATTCATAATTGTATGTGTGCCTCTTATTTAATAGTACATTTTTTCCTTTGTACTTTTGCGGTAACAACTAATAATAATAATAATAGATTACATTTGTATAGCGCCTTTCAAGGGACCCAAGGCCGCTTTACAAGCTGAACAAACAAAGAAACAAAGAAACAAAAGGGGCAAATAATAAAGTAAAAAGTAAATACTGTGATGGGTTAGGGGTCAAAGTACTGTGCAACGGTACAAAATGTGTCAACAAGAAGTAGTGATCTTGTTCCTATAAAAATGTCTGTTAAATTAAATGTAGTGTAACAACTTCGGTCTTATCGACACAAAGCAGTATCCCCCTCTAGCTGCCCCAGTTTCTGCAGCCTACCCCGAGGAAGATGTTCTTGGAGGAGTCGAAGCCGGCGGCGTAGATGCGTGCGGTGAACGGAGCGTCTCTCTGGCAGATGATGCGGCAGGCGAAGCGGGAGATGGTGCTCTGAACCGTCTGACCGTCCACCTGGATCTGACCCCCGGGCAGCGTGTCCGTCACCACGTAGTCAATGGGAATCTCTGTGGAGCGACCAATCTGTGATGAAGCACAGACAGGGTTTATAATAATAATAATAATAATAATAACAACAATAACAATACATGGGATTTATATTGAGCTTTTCTTGATGCTCAAAGACCTGCACATGAAAATGATGCAGATACTTCTGTATAGTGTCATGTACTTTGTATACTGTGACAGTGAGTGGATGAATTCGCCTCTACTTCCCAACTGTCTCGGTAGATAAAGTATAGTCCCTCCAAGCTCCCTTTCAGTAAAGATGTCGTCAAAGATAACTAAAACTGTTTTTCATTCTTCACATATTGTGTCATAAGATATATTGGGTAAAGAATGAATCTGCAGTTCCTCGGATAAAACATTTGAACAAACTTTTTAACGGATGTCAGTTATTGAGCAACGACAAATGTAAACGTGGCTTTTTCTTAACATTAATATCTGGAATTTTTCTCAAAGCTATTTCTTTGAAGCCGTGTCGATTCCTATTTCTCAGTTTCCAATTCCTCAAATGTGGTTTCTTACTTTTTGTTCCGAGTTTTATTTGGTCTTTCATGGGTTAAGGAAATTCTGCCAAGAGCCAAAAATTGTGCAACATTACAAAAGCATCACGAATAGAAAAGGCATACAGTTTGACTCGTAGGTAGTTGTGTAATCTTTTTTTTAGCTTTCCAGAAACACAAAGATAGATCATGAGAGGCTACATTTAGTCTGTGATCTGTGTATCTGCAGGAGCATCAGGTAGAGTCAGTCGATGCTACAGACCTGGAACATGTCCGTGCCGCCGTCCTGCGTGTACTCCACCACCACCGTCTGTGCCCGGGACAGAGTGTAGGAAATACTGTGCTGCTCCTTGTTGCTCACAGCCTGCACAAACACAAGAGAGGCACTTTTAAAAATGTATTTAAGATATGACAAACACACCTGTTATTGTTCAATGATAGCATATCTTATTTATGATTATTTATGATGCAGTAAGTCTTTAACAGAGCAACAAAAGTGCAAAGAAAATCTTGTTTATCCTGATAACATAAAAGAAACAGAACAGATAGAAAACATGAACACATCAGCGTTTACATGTTTGTAACCATCTGCTATATTGCAGTTAATGCTTAATGACTGCTACTATAGGAGAGATACAAACAGAATAATTAGAAATGTCTTGATTTGGTCCATCTGACAGTACCCATCAAACTCATTTGGCAGGAAACTACAACATTGTGATTGTAATGTAAATAAAATAAAGTGCTTCCATGTATTACTAGTAGATTGCAGGTACCCCTAGGGATGCATACCGGTATCCGGTATTACCGAAATACCGGTTACTGGTGGCTACGGTATACCGTACCGAAATCAGACCCGGTTTCGATACTTTAAAAAAAAAATTTTTTTTTTAAATTGTATTTTTAAAGTGAGTCCGTGGCCCGTGATGGGTGTTATAAATTAGATTGCATAATCGTTTTTCTTCATATTTTATGTATTTTTCATTGTTTGTTCAATACTAGAAAGGTAAGTCCCACAAATGAACTGTGATGGGATTTGTTTTCTCTCACCAGTGAAGGCAAATGTTGATTTTAAAGATGAGATTTGTTTGTTTGTGCAATGCCGAGATCTCATGACCATTATTCTATTATGTATTTGTTCTCTAGTCGAATCTCAGGTTTAACATTAATTATAACGGTGCTATAACGGTCTGTTTGCATTGACAAGATGTGCTATTCACGCGGCACACCTGATGGCGGGTGTTATAAAAGATATTCCATAATCGGTTTTCTTCATATTTTTTATGTATTTTTCATTGTTTGTACTAAAAGGTCCAAGAAGTCCCACAATTGAATTTAATATTCATTTGACATGTTAACTATATCGTAAAGCGCTTCATGGGAGTAATTGTGGGATGATACATTTTCAAAGTATCACGATATGTATCGGTTGAGTATCGGTATCGTTCAGTGGTATCGGTATCGTTCAGTGGTATCGGTATCGTAAAAAAAGTCAACGATATGCATCCCTAGGTACCCCACACAAACACATTAAATCAGTCATATCCAAGAGCGTGAATTCCCTCTCCTTCGTCTTCTTTTATGAACTTTGAAAGGTCCTCTGTGCTCCCTGTCATAGTGCCTGATGTTCTCTATCTGAGTTCAAAGCGCTCACCTTGGCAGCCTGAGGCGTGCACGAGGAGTGCACGGTGCTCGGTTTCACGCCGTTGGCCTTGTTCCTGCGACACAGAGCGAAGCGGCTTTTCCTCCTCCCCTTGTCACCGTTTGGCAGAGAGCCATTACACCTGAACACAACATGGGAAACGTCTGATTAGAATCACACAGGATCGGCACTGAGTGAACCTGGAAGTGAACAAGTTAAAACGTGTAAAAGCACATATTAAGGTCATTTAAATCTACTAAAAGAAGCTCAATCGTGGTTTATAATACACTTCAGTGAAACGGCGTGACAGTGCAGGGCTTCAGTTCTTCACACAATAACACAGAGGCTAACAAAACCACAGGCGCTCTCTGAGTCAGCAGAGAAAGGCCTTCAGTCTGCAGCCTTCTTCCCTCTGGTGGGGGGGGGTTCTCTACATTAAACTATACAGAGTTATGCTGACAGCAAACCAGAGGTGGGATAAAGTCATCGTTTAGCAAATCACAGAGTAACTATCAAATCTTGGCTATAAAAGCCTCAAGCCAAGAACAACAAGACGTTGTGTTCCACGTCCGAAGCATCCACCTGTTCATTGAACCAACCTGAGGTGAGGTATCATCATGTAGATATACGTCTATTCTTTAACCAATTTATACTTAATTCAAATAAAAAAGCTACACGTTTCAGAAAAGTAGAATCCATTTTTGTATCTGTTTTTAATCTATTGGAAGTTTGTATGTGTGTCAAAGCTCTTCTAACCCCAACATGTGCTGGCCCTTTCTCCCTAACCTAACAGGCAGATTTCCCAAACATTATTTCGCAGCTTTCACTGGAGACAGGAAGCCTGGTGGGTAAACGTAAACTACATTTTTGCACATTATTGTCAAAAGGAAAACTATGAAAGCTATGAATCTGTTGGAGGTTTGATTAGGAGTGTTTGTCTGGAGGTTATCTGCAGAGCCAGCCTGAGGTCAGACACACATTTGAGTGGAGCCATTCTTCCACAGGATAATGCTAACTTCCTGCGTTTCAGATAAAGTGCACCCACCTCCTTTTCTTAGACAAACCCACTGTGGCTCCACTGCCTCTGTTTTCACAAACTATGCGTCTCTTTAAAATGACACCCTGTGAGCGGTGTAATTGTCAGTTACATGGTCTCCCAGACTGTTGGGTTCCACATGTGATACGAAAGCAAACAAAAGGTCTGAAACCACAGCAGCCACAACTCTCCTGACGTCTCTCTGAGTCCGCAGTGAAAGGCCTTCAGGCAGGAAGTGAGCTGCATTCTTCTCTGCGGTGGAGCTTCTACACGTTAAGCTGGACCAGGCGCAGCTTCTGAACTATTTCATACTGTACTAAAGTCCCACTGAGATCAAATGAAGTTATCTATTCAATCTTTTTTATCTGGAGAAATGTCACAGTGTACACATTCTTATCTGCACTAAAAGGGTTTGCACATTTGAAGCAACTTGTGCAAAGTGTGGGCATTCTCCTTCAAGTGCTTAGACCTCACACAGCAGGGTATCACACCTTAATACATGTTCAGGACCGGACCCCATGTGTTCATAGTAGTGTCGAGTATCACAAACATATAAGCTGTCATAAAACATGTGGTCAAATTGGAGACTTAAATCACATAACTACTGATGAACAAAACCGTTTAAGACAATTGTATACAGGCTCATACAGTACATAAGCAGCCATACACATTGTGGTCCGGCTGCTTATGTATGCTTGTTGGAGCCATAATGCATGTGTCTGTTTGTATTTTATCTGGACGTTTAATTAATTTTCTACACAAGATGGAGTATTCACTTGTGTGTGTGTGTGTACATGTAATCACTGGGTGATCAGGTGCAGGTGTTTTGGGACGGAAGCAAACAGTTTTCGAGCGTGTCGGCCGAAGCCGTGTCAATATGAGCTGTGTGTGTTAAACCGGTCTGTATTCAGCGTGAGTGACGTGCATGTATTGGTATCTGAATGGTAACAGAAAGGCTATGTGGACAACAAAATAAAAGGATCGATGGATTGAAAGATATACACTCGTATGGACATTGCTTGAACACGCGTCCGAGCTTACTTCACCCGTTCCCTCAGTGGCTTGAGTATGGATGAAGTTAAAAAGCCACTACAATGCTTATGTTAAAAAACAACATTTGAATTGTAAAATATTGGGCTTCTTGTGTTGAATGATAAACATTTCTAGAAACTACCAAAAAACGTGTTATAATTTCCTTGAAAGTATCAAAGTAGTAAGCCCTATGACATGGTAGTGTTTGTAAATCTCTGTTAAACTGTCGTGAATAAAGCGTAGTCCCTCAGATGTTCACAGGTTACTCACACATTAAGGTACAGCAGATTACTCCCATCTGTAGCCGGGATGATTACAAATACAAATGTCCATCCTGGTGGAGGATACAGATTTACTCTTATCTATTCTATTCCATTGGTGGGTCTCGTAAAGCAGGTGTTAACTGTCGTATACAGTAGAACTATCTTAAATAGAGCCGAGCAATATGGATTATATCACAATCTTTTTTTAAGTAATGTGGATATAATGAACACTTATGTACAATCTGATTTGAATACTGACACTTTACTTTGTGAACTAGGAGCCAGATGTAAAAACAGAAGCTGTTCTCCACTAAATGAAATGGTCAGCAGTAAAGTGCACATTGTTGAGGGCTCAAACCAGCAGAACCAGAACAGCTCGGGGGCTATGATTCAGACGTTTTAAAACCGCAGCAGAGAAAGCTTCTTACCCCAGAACAATGAGCTCTCCATATTTCACTGGTCCTTTGGTGGAGGCCGGGGAGGAGGGGATGTTTTCCTGACCGAGAGAAAACATGTGTGCAGCTTTCAGCGGGAGGAAGGGTGAGGAAGAGTGAGGAAGAAGGAGGAAGGGTGAGGACTTTCCCAGTGTCACCCTCAGAGCGTCTCCATCAGCACCGCTACACACATCACCTGCAGACAGAAGAAGAAGAAGAACTTTTGACTATGCAGTTTTCAGAGTAGGAATCACTTGGGATTTACAATTTAAATAAGCTATGAGACAAGAAAACACACACTTTTATTTGGTACGGCAATACAACCAAGTCTTTATACTGGGGATCTGGACCCCAGCACAATGTGTTCATAGTGCCTGATATCAAAGACATCAAATATCTGGTCAGATTTACACATTCATCACATTATTGCTCATTTGAATAGCAATTTGAGAACATTGAATGCAGGCAAAGTTCTTCTTTTTGTTGTTGCCGGTATGTTAAAATAAAATCTAAAATGTTAGATCTTTGACTTCTTTTGTTGAGTAAAAAATGAGTTTGGAGAAATTCTCAAAGTGCTTTTTGACACTGGGGATATTTCATTTAAAATGTAAAAACAATTTTCAGACTTTCATACAAACAAACACATATAGAGGCTGCAACACCACACTATTATGTCCTGCTACAATACAACCATACTGTCTTTGTAGTGTGATCCGGACCTCAGCTAAATGAGTTCGTTGTGCCTGATATTAAAACCACCAAATATCTGGTCAGATTTACACATTTAAGCCCATAATTCCACATTTAAATAGCCATTTAGGGCGGTTTTATACAGAGAAAGTACTTTTTTCAGCTGTGATGTTCGAATAAAGCGTACGATCTTTGGCTTCTTGTGTTGAATGAAAAAGGGGTTTTGTAGAAAAACATGTTTATAATTCTTGAAGTACTTATTAAGATAAAGTTGAACTTTACAGAGAAAGCTTCACTTTGTGTCTTACATTTAAAATGGAAATAACTCTTAACACATAGAGTCTTCAACACACCATCATTCATTGGTTCCTACAATACACCCACACACTCTTTGTGTTGGGTCTGTGCTGCAGACAATGTCTGAATTCACTGCCGGACACTGAGCTGCGTTGTGAAGAGAGTGTTCATGACGGGGTGACTCACAGCGTCACACTGGGACTGATGTTATAATGCTTTGTACCGTGAATAAAAACAAGCCGAGTGTCACTCAGACGCACAACTCTGATGTCCAGAGGCCTAACAGGACCTAACGTCACTAAAAACCCCACGAGGGATTCACGCTGTGATGACGAATTAACCTGTTGGAAACCAAAGAGGGTTTAGGGTTCAGATAAATTGACTTTCATATATTCTGGTGTTGGCGAGTGTTTCTCGTTAGAGGGTCATAATACTCAACTGGTAGAAATCCCCGTTTTTAAAATAGGAGGCCCTCCATTAAGGATGCTTTTCTTAATGGAGGGTCAAATAGCAGGTTTCAAAGGAATAAACCCAGAAAACTCCTTTTTAAATTGTAATAACAAACATACCCAATGTTACCTTCCATTCTTGAAGAAACCTTTGTTTGTAGCGCATGTGTTTAAGGTGAACGAGGAATCTAATGGCGCATTTCCACTGCAGGGCCTCGCTCGGCTTAGTACGGTATAGTTAGGCCTTGGTGGGCCAGGTTCACTTTATGATGCGTTTCCATTACAGTTTAGTAGCTGGGGAAGTAACTATAGTAACGCAGTGTAGGCGGGGCCGTGACGTCATCTTCAATGCGAAACATAGAAAATCAACATCAACCGTTAGCTGTTAGCCCTCAGAGCTCACAGCTCCTCATATCTGTTCAGAAACTAGACAAAAGTGAAACAAGTA